TGACCTGAGAGACAAAGCGAATCCAATGGAGCCAGCCTGGCCCCTTAGGAAAACTTGAGGCTGTTCATTATGTCCCGGGATGAGCTCACTGCCTGGTTAACTCCATCCTCGCCACTTGTGCGTGCCTGCGAGCCAGCAGCGCTCGTCTGCTGAAGTGAAGCCTTCAGTGAGGATGGCACGTGGCGGGTTTGCATGTTTTCCATGAAAATACGGACCGCAGGGTTTTCTCCTTTTATACGGTAGGAGGAGTTAAAAAAGCTGCACGGAAGAAGGCTTTAATAACAGTTTTAATAATTTCCTTTTGATCTCAGCTTTCTTACTTCATTTCTAAGCTCTGGACAGTTAGATCAGTCTGTCCATCTGAGCTAAGCAAATGCAAAACAAGGGGGAGAAGACTACAACTCCTTTGTAGTTACCAGGAGCTTGATTTTTTGAGCTCCCTTGCGAGAGGGTTGATTTGTAGGTATACAAACAAGGTAGAAAAGATTAAACCCTAATAGTCCTGTTGAAATCAGCTCAGTACAGAGCAAATGGTTTAGGGCTTCTTGCAATCTCATGTGTGCTCCTGTCAAGGAGAGGTTTCCATCAGCTCTCGGCATGGGATGGAGGAGGGCTGGCCATTTCCATCCCTGCAGCAGGATCCCAACAAACACGAGCAATAAAGCAGCATTTTTGTACTTCCCTGTCAAGCCTAAATCCCACTGAGCAAGGGATCCCTCAGCCGAGCTTTGAGTTCACGGGGACGTCAGAGAAGCAAGGAGTTTGCTTGCAAAAGAACGGAAACCCCCCAGCAGGAGCTGCCATGTGAATTTTGGGAAACAGACCTTCTTTTCCAGAAATCTTGCCCATATGATGCTTTTTCGCATTGAAACCACAAATAATGCAGATTTCCCCCTGCGTCTAGCACACAGCTTCCTTGGGCCCCAGACATACTTTTGCTCAAAGAGTCTGTTACCTATTTTTATCGAAGAAGAGGCTGTTTCTCATATGGGAATGCAAGAGAAAACGGGAACAAGGATGGTGAGTCCCTCATCTGGTTCCAGCTCACCCTTTGCACTACCGCTGCGCTCAGAGAAAGTTGGATGAAGGTGAAGGACTCAGAAATGAAACGGGTTTCTTGTGGCATCGGGTGCCATCCCTGCAATTACAGGCATCGTGCTTATGGCTCCCGAACAGACCCGTCTCCATTCAGAAATATTTCTGGTGGTATGTAAACTTGCTCTAATTTCCAGCCTAATTTTTAAGCAGTTTGTCCCACTTGTTCTCCTGCCAAAGCGGTCCATTAACCTAGACACCACTCAAGCCTTGCCTGGTTTTAATTTTGCTTCGTTTCTTCCCGAGACCATCAGGTGCCACAGATTTTGCTGAGAGTTCACCCCTTTTTGGCTAAACCGGCCCTGAGCATCAGATTTGCAGCAGAAGCTCCTCACACATGCAAAGCCAGGCCAGAGTCTCTGTTGGCATTCCTAAAAAGCCAAGTTCTTCCTTTCAAATCAGTTAATTCCAGCTTATAGATTAGCCGGAGCTGATAAACTTGGCATTACGAACCACTGACAGGTATTATCTCTTCTCCTGTCAGGCCTGGCCAAATCACAAGAGATCTGCAAAGATTTACAGAAATCTGTTTGGTTGCAATTTTCCCCTGCCTCCTGCCAGCTCTTCTTGCCAGTTTGACCACTTGCCCGGTCATCCTCCGAGAAGAGTGAGTCAGCTGGGCAAAAAATTAATAAATAAAATATCCCAAGCCTGTCCCAGCATGGACTCCCTGCCCCAACCCAAACCGGACCCTTGGGTTCTCGAGAGCTGGTTTATACCACCCCCCACCATCACCCCTCTGGCTCTTCCCAGCCCCATCCTTGCCGAAACACCCTCCCCCAGTTCAGCTTGGATGGCCAAGTGCACTAAAATGAGATTTAGAGGTTGTAACCATCCTCAAAAGTCCCTCTGCGCTTGCGTGTGCTGGTGTTCAGAGAGCTCCGGCCACCTCCATCACCCCGGGATGCGTCGCTCCTTCTCCCCTGCTCGTCCATTGATGGCAGAAGAAACCCAGACGAGCACCTTCGAGCTGATGTGCAACTTTTAATCAGCTCAGACAAGACGAGAGGGGTACCATGCTCTTGCAGACAACAGCCTTTGTCCGGTGGGCTCGTTACGGGATGGAGGACACCATGGGAGGTAACGAAGGAGCGATGCGAGAGGATCTGTTTAATTCCTCCCGCCTCTGATCATCCCCAGCCTCCTCCTCCAGCTGTGATGAATCCGTAGGGAAGGATCCAGCCTTATTTTGACTGTGGTTTCCAGGATGGTGTCTCTGTCTGGGAAAGATTTATGGCAGCGCTTACGGCAGGAGGAGAGGAGTGATTAGATCGGGCCCCGTCTATTTGTCGTGGAGAAAGACCCACTTTACAAGGAAATAAACTCAAGCAATTAACTGGGGAATTAAGATTTAGCGCACGCTACGAGCAGCAGGCATGTATAAAGGAGACAGCTGTTAAATTTAGTATGTGACAAAGTCATGCGAACACTAACTGGATTACTTGCATTTATTTGGGAATACTTATGTATTTTATTATTATGCAACGTATAGATCACCATAATTCTGCTTTTCACTCCGACGACGCCTCTCCTCCAAGCATCTTAGAGAGCATTACAAACAATTAAGCCTGCCTGCGCCTCTGCGTAGTGCTCGATGTTATATCCGCTTTGTGGGTATTGAATATATTTTAGATAGGAGATGGCTTAATTAATGGGATTGATTTTTAACTCTTTCTGGGCCAAAGCCCCAAGTTGCTGCTCTTCCTGGGCTGATCCTGGAGTCCACAGGGATGGACTAGTCTAGAAGTCGCTGGAGCGAGTTTTCCAGGGATGGAAATCCATCCATCCCCCAGGGATGGTGATTTTGACCCATTTTGGTGAAAAAAGGGGAGGTGATGAATGCTGGGGAAGGGAGCGTGGCTTGGGTGGTGGCTCCACGTATGCTCTTCCAGCATAACCTCCCGCTCTGCAGACACCTTCGTGTGTCCCCAGGACCCTTGGAAGTGGCACAAGCTGCTTTTCAGCGCTTCCAGCCTCCTTCCCTGGCAAGAAGTGACAGATAACTGCCTCCAGTTGCATCTCCGGGGAGGAGTTTAGGGAGGCAGCGTGTAATCCTGCCTGCTGAGTTTGGTCCAGACACTATCAGACGTTATTAATCCTTTGTATCAGGCCAGCGGGGACCGGCAGCCTGCTGTATAAATGTGCTGCAGTATGGGAGGGACAGTCCCTTCCCTGAACAGTTTCCAGTTCAAGGAGATGGCGGAGGGATAAACGGATGGAGGATCTTCAGGAGCCGACGTCCAGACCACTGAGAAGCTCCTGTGGAAGATGCCAGCCGTTTTAACAACCTCAAAGAGTCAGCATCTTAATTTTAAGCCTCAGGTGGCAGCGTTCTTGGCACTGGGGTGGTTTAATTGGCGGGTCTGATGCCTCAGCCTTTCCCACCGACCACGTTTGCGCCAAAAACAGGAGCGGTTTGCACCTCCTCTCCCAGCAGTTTGCTGTAGCTCCTGCTCAGAGCATCCCTGCTCCTCCTAAAAGAGCCGAGCTGGGATAACTGCCAGGGGATGGGGCTGTAACATGCTTGTCCACTCTTCCAACCCTGCAGGAGTGTGGAGCAGAGTAAGCGCTGGATCCAGGGTGGGTAAAAAAACATTTAAAACCAGTTTTTGGTTGCATAGGTCATGGGGGACCTGCAGCAGCACCGCTGCAGCCCCTCCACCACCTTCGATAGCTCCGGGAGAACGCGTCGTATCTGCTCCCTCGGCTACTCCAAAGCAGCCAATTTATATAAATAAAGCAGTTATTAGAGCAAAGACAACTTGTCAGCACTTGAAAACAAGTGACAGGTCGGCTCCGGGAGCGGGGACCAGGCGTCTCGCCCCAGCTCAAGGAGGTGACAGCACACAGACGCACACACACCCGGTTTTGTATCCCCGGCTTGTGCTGCACGATGCAACGCCAGGCACATTACTAGCCCTATTTTCCATTTATAGGAGCCTGTCAGAAATGGCACTCCTCTCCGAGCAGATGTCGAAAAATTAGAGGGAATTCAGAGAGCGGCAGAAAAAAAAATGATTAAAGGAGATGGAGGGTCTGATTTTGGAGGGAAAAGAAATCAGCTGAGCTATTTATAATGCTGCCTGCACCAGGGTGGGTAGGAACAGGCTTTTTTTTTTTAAAGTGCCTCGATAGCTCAGCTAAGGGGAAGGGGCAAACCAGCCTCCGAAGGATGCTGACAGGAACACTGCAGAGGGGCTGTGTGAGAGGGTGTAAATCCTGAGCGATGGGATGAAATACCAAACATGAGTGTCTGGGGAACCGCCGGTAATGGGTGAGTGCAGGGGACGGTCACTCATCCAGAGTGAAAAAAAAAATGCCCTGATAAAGACGTGCTGAGGGGTGGTAGAGGCGGTACCGATGGCAAGCCCCCGCTCCTACCTCTGCTCTTGGTGACAAACCGCGCTTGTATTTACATCCAGCGTTTTACACAAAACGTGTGGTGGCGGGGGTGGAAATCTTCACTTTTTCATCCAAAAGCAAATGTTTTTGGTTTAAAAAAAACCCACCGGCTTCAAATTCAGGCCTTCAGCCCCAGAGGCTCCCGGGAGATGCATGCAGAGATTGCTGCAGCTGCCTGCCGGGCTGGGGTCCCCTGCAGAGGGCTGCGTGATGGAGGGGACCAGCCTGCTTCGGGGTGATGCATCCCCGGGGGAACAAAGCATCTCGTCCCTATTTCCAAATCGCCTGGGCAATTTGCAGACTGAGAAGCAGTTCATGAACATGTTATCAATGTCACATCACCCATTCCCCAACGAGCCCCAGCTCCCGGCAGCGGCTCCTCCATCGTGGCCAAAGGGGGTCGGAGCAAAGGGGTTTCGTGGGGGCAATTTGGGTTTCTCCATGCCTTGGTCTGCAGAAGGAAGCTGCCTAACGCGGTCCTTGTCTCTCTGGTTGCCTTGCAGGACCTCTCACTCCAGGGCCAAGGCGGAGGCGGCTGTGGGGGCGGCGCAGAAAGCTCAGGAGGAAGCGCGGATCGCCAGGATCACTGCCAAAGAGTTTTCGCCTTCCTTCCAGCACAGGGAAAACGGTCAGTGCGTGCCGCCGCGCCAGCTGGCCCCACGGACACGACTTTCGCCCCGTGCCGCTCTCTGCCCCGCTTGCTCCCGGTCCTCACCGGGACCCTTGGGGTGGGAAACCACCCTGTAACACCAGCTTTCGGAGGATTTAGCACAAGGCTTTCAATATTCAACACTTCCACCCTGTGCAGTCCTGTCATTACAGGGAGCTCCTCTTTTCACACCAAAACACCCCCATTTTTTTTAATTCGTAGTCCTTGATGGTTTCACAGAAAAAAAACAACAAGAGCTCCCAAAGCAAAATGCAAACAGAAATGATCCCAGAAGTGGTCGCTGATTTTACCTCCATGGCTTTTAGAGCCTCGTTCATGATTTCTTTTGAACGCTTGGGCTTGCAGAGCTGGGGCAGCATGCGTTGGTACCTAATCCTTCACTTGGATGTGCAAACCAGTTGCGTGTGTGCACAAAGGTGGCAGAGAAATGCACGTTTGAGGTTTGCCTGGTGGCTCTTCCTTCCCTCCATCATCTTTGACATTTCTTCCTGGTTTGTCCATATTTTTGCTCGTTGATAAGAGGCTCGGGCTCAGCAAAGGCTCAGGGAGGAGGAAGCCAAAGCGAAGCTGCGGTCGGGCAGGGGTCTGCAACCGGCAGGCGCACAGGGAGGATTCGCCCCGCGAAGGCTGCGCCTATCCGGGAGCGAGAGGGGCTGCTGCGAGTGGGAGCAGAAAGCTCCAAGTCCCCACAGCAATAATTAACATAGTAATTAATATATGTGAATGGTTTTATTCAAAAGTTTTCCTGCACCGAACTCTCTTTAGGAGGCGTCTATCATTATTTTCTCCCCCTTCCAGCTCTCTAACTGAAGATTACTCATTCGGCTTAATTGCTCCAGGGGCTGGTGCTGGTGACTCATGTCGGCAGTGCCGTTCCCTGAGGCCGGGGAAGAGGGATCATTGCATCTTTTGGACCAGCCAGCCCATGCACGAGTCCTCACTTAACTGTGGCGCAGAGGCTGCGGGGGCGGCTGGGGGCATCCCACAGCTCAGCAGCAATGAGCCAGACGGGGTTTGAGGTCTGGCTCCGGCCATGAGCCGGCCTGAGCTGGGGTGGTGTGCGTAGCAAACCCCCATCCGAGACACGGCCATGTGCGGATGGGAATTTCAGGGGGGGTAGGGGATGCAGAGCCCCTTGTAGCTGAGCCCCCTGCAGCTCTCTGCTCGCTGGAAGAAGGCACAGCCCTGTTCAAACACCCCATAGCATTTCTCATCCTGCAGAGGTCCAATTTGTATATCGGAGAGCTGAGCTTTTTCGCAGGGCTGCGTGGTCCCAAGGGCTTCTTCAGCCCTGAGATATTCCTCATCTCCATTTCCTCTTGCCAAGAGACTTTGCTGTTTTAAATCACCTCTTGAAAAGATATTTTTAGGTAATACATTTTTTACTAGCTTCTAGACGGGGACATGGTGCTTGACTTGTGTTGGGGCTTGTGTTTCTGGTGCTCACGTCTGGGTGGGTTGTGTGTGAGTGAAGGGGGAGGGAAGGAGTTTCCACTTAGAGCACATTAAAAAACAAACACACCATCCAAGATGTGTCGGGAAACCTGGGAGCGCCCGCGGGCAAGTCAGGCACACCTCTTGAAAAGATATTTTTAGGTAATACATTTTTTACTAGCTTCTAGACGGGGACATGGTGCTTGACTTGTGTTGGGGCTTGTGTTTCTGGTGCTCACGTCTGGGTGGGTTGTGTGTGAGTGAAGGGGGAGGGAAGGAGTTTCCACTTAGAGCACATTAAAAAACAAACACACCATCCAAGATGTGTCGGGAAACCTGGGAGCGCCCGCGGACCAAGTCAGGCACATAATAGCTGTGAGCAGCCGCGCCACCCCACAGACCCCGTAACCTCAGGCTGCAAACGGCCCGGGGGGGCGGCTGGCTGGGAGGAGCTGCAGCACGGGCAGGGCGAGCTGCCGCCACGCTGCATGGCGTTGCACGGGCTGTACGTGCCCACCTTGCATAGTGTCACGGGTGCTCTATGTGCCCCCCCCTTGCACAGCACTGTGGGTGCTCCATGTGCCCACTTTGCACAGTGTTGTGGGTGCTGCGTCCCACCCACCTTCATAGCATCACAGGGGTTTTCATGCCCACCTCAGCATTGGCCCTGCAGGCATCCTGGCCCGGAGCATCCCCACAGCGCAGCCCCTATTTGAACAGACACGGACTCCAGAGCGGCAGGCAACAGTGCCGGCTCCAGCAACCCCAGACACGCCACAGCAGTGCCACAAGGCCTTTACCCAGAAAAACCAAAAATATCCCTGCTCAGTACCCTGCACCACCCTCTCCCCTGTGGTTTTCCACCTCTGTCTGCCGGGGGGATCTTCCACGTCCCCATCACGCTCGCTGCGGTTGTGCCTCCCCGGTTCCTGGCTCTGCCGGACGCCCCTGGCCATGGCTGCCAGCGGGGTCAGCTGATGGGCTGGACGGTGCTGGTGAAGTGACTCCCCCAAGGTGACGGCAGCATGTCAGTGGCAGAGGCAGGAGCTCAGCATCGCTCCCGAACCCCATACGTGGGTCCTCAGGGGCACCACAGCACCCAGGGGCACGTGCTTGGCTTTGAAGATGCTGCGGCCGGGCACGGCTGCCTCCATCCTGCTGGAAATCCAGATTTGGTGCTCTGCATCCTCCTTCATGCTCTCACAACTGTTCTTCCAGGAACATCACGTGCTCAGCAACTAATTTTAGCTCAGAATAATTGTTGCACATCCTCGGGTGTCGAAAGCCGGCAAGACGGCACCGTGCATCTGTCGAGTTCCTCCGCAAGGAAACGCCTGTGTCCTCGCGGGGCTCCAGGGCTAGAGGGGCAGTCGTGCCCCAGCGTTGCTGGCCCCTGCTTGTCTGTGAGCCCCAGCCAGGGGCTGCAAAACTCAGGGGATTAACCCACGGAGAGGAGGAATTAGCTCAGCTCGTTGCAGGTCCACGTGGGAAAGATTTAGGACGAGAGGGTTCTTAATAATGTGGTCCGCGGTGTGGGTCTCCGGGGTGAGGATGCTGGCGCATCATTGGGCTTTCTCGCCTCTGCCGTGGGGCTCTGGGGACCGGGGAAGATTGGGGTTGGAGCTAAGGTGCAGGAGCAGCGGGTGTAGCGAGGCTGTGTCTGGTTGTGCCATTGGAGATTGGCTTTGGGGTCATCGGAGCTGGTGGGAAGCTTTCAAGTCCCTGCACCTCCAGCCTGAGATGAAGAGGGACACCCCAAGTCCTGGGTGAGCCCGTTTTGATAGCTGTCTTTACAGCTTTCTCATATGAAGCTGTTTATCCCCCCCGCCCTCAGTTTCCCGTCTGTGATATTGGAAGGTGGCTGGAATGGGAACGTCTCAACAACAGCCACAAAATCAGTCTGTATTTTTCCTGAGACAGTTATTCTGCATGCAAATGGAGGGGGTGAACTCCACCTTTCTCCTTCACCACAATTGCCCACCAGTACAAGGATTGCTCAAGGGCCCCAAATAAATCCCGGGAGGTTCAGTCTCCCACAGACAAAGAGGGACACAGGGAACAGACTAAAACTGAACTATCTGAGTATTGTCCCAAAACACGAACAGATTTTTCTGTGGCAAATAATAAAAAAAAAATTGACAGTCATTAGAAGACCAATTTCCCATCGAGAAATTGCTTGTGTAGGAAATTTCCAAGCAGCCTTGTTACTGTTTACCTCCTCTGCAAGTAGGGACATCCGTCCCCATGCTCCCAGCATCCCCCGCATGTATCCGGACCACGGCGCGGTGGGACGTGGGGATGGCTGCAGGCAAAGGCACGTCCCAGCGCCAGCAGTTTCCCAAGAAGATGCGATAGAGAAAATTACTCAGCAGAAGTGAAGAGATTAGAGCAGGAGCTTCAGAGCATTTATTTTTAAACTGTGGTAAAAAATTGAGTTCTTCCTTTTTGAGGCTCATTTCTTGTCTAGCCATAGCAATTGCAATTAGATGCATTTCAGGGGCATTAGGCAGTTAATATATTTATCAAATTATTAACGTAATTTAGCATGGCTTTAGCTGGGAACAACTATGCCTTGAGAGGGTAAAATGAGAATTAACCACTATTAGCTTGCACCCTCTTGAAATAATTTCATGTTTCATCGATGATTAATAAGGTGCAGTTTTTTTCTAAATGTCCGGAGAAGCGACATGTTTCTTGCCAGCTGGTCACCTCCAGCAGAAGACACTCAGCCACTCTTAAAGTCCCCGTCCCCAGGTCCCTGTTCCCAGGAGGCATCATCTGGGGTGTCCTCTGGGCTCAAAGGGAACGAAGTGCAGTCAGCATGGTAAAGATAAGATGGTCTTATCTTTAAAGATACGGTGTATATCGTATTCATGTAGCCCTGAACATGCTACCTTGCTCCTGCCTAAACGTGTGAGGCACGACCGCCCGTGTGTTCTCCATGACATCCAGCAAGGGGGGGCTGAGTGGGGAAATGTCCGTGCCCTCCTTGTCTGTACGGGGCAGGAAAGCTGTTCCGTATATGGTTTGTGGGGTTTTTTTCTTAATGGGCGGCTTGCACATCTGCCCAGATGAGACCATCTCCCTGTGAAAGCTTCGAGGTGAGATTCCCCTTCTGAAACCATGCAGCTGCAAAGCCAATGTGTTTCTTGTCCAGGGAGGGGTGTGAAGGCTGTCGGCAGTGAGCTGGGCACGGGGTGATCCCAGCAGCGCCCAGGATCACACACGAGCACAGGGCATGGGGTGAGCCGTGGGCTGCCGCCGGCTGCATCTCAGATTTCCCTTCTCATGCCTGCAAACTGGGTTTGGAGCTGATGGAAAAAGGTGGTCAGATGGATGCCCCAAAAAAGGTCAATGGGCAGGGACATAACCCCCTTAGCGGGGTTAGGGTGGCGGCGTGCACAGCGTGGGAATGGTGCTGTGGAGCAATGCAGGCTGCTCTCGAGCGGGGCTGCAAGCTGCTGCATCCCTGCGACCCACCAGGGAAAGCAGGGCCGTAGGCAGAGCACAGGCAGGGCCCGAGCGCCCGCTCCTCTGCCTGCGCAGGGCTCCCGGCAGCTCTGCATCATTAAGTGGCTTCCCCACATCGCTGGGGCTGCAAAACTATTGCGAGTCCTTTTACTTGTAATACATACACACGGTCCTTCACACATGTCCCCAAGCAAGCAGGGTGCCCGCCAGCAGCAGGGGCGGCGAGAACTGCGAGTGCTAAAGGAGCAGCCGCTGTTGAGCCTGCTGGAATCAGCTGGAAACGAGAGCCACGGTGGTGCCAGGTGGTTTCTAAAAGGGTTGGTAGCACTTGGGTTTACAGCAGTGGAGAAACACAACCTTAGTGCAGAATGCCCCTGTCTTGACAACACTGGCAGCTGATGCCAAACCATCTCCCATGCCGGGCTGCAGCCGCTTGCACCGTGCTGCTCTGCGGATGCTGGGGTGATAGCAGGTTTGGTGTAAAACCAATGATGCCTTTTCTCTTGGTCTAGTAGCAGAAGCTACTTATTGTGCTACGCTGCTGCTGTCCTGATCTTGCCCCGCAGTTCCCCTGCCGTCCAACACTCTCAGCCCTATTCTTTGACATGAAAAACCTGGTGGGCGCCCACAGAATAGAAATAACCCTGTTGCATTTCTCTCTCCCTCTCTCTTTTCTCTTGATGACTACACAAAAAGGGCTCGAATGCCAGAGACCGAAGCGCCAGAACTCGAGCGATGACATTGAGGTCCTCTCCACCGGGACACCTCTCCAACAAGAGAGCCCCGAGCTGTACCGCAAAGGGACCACCCCGTCCGACCTGACTCCCGATGACAGCCCGCTGCAGAGCTTCCCTGCCAGTCCCTCCTCCACGCCGCCCCTGGGTCCTGCCTGCAGGAACAAGAGCGCTCACTTCTCCAGGCAGGTCTCGGTGGATGAAGAGAGGGGTGGGGAGATCCAGATGTTGCTGGAGGGACGCGGCGGGGATTACTTGCGCCCCAACAGCTGGAGCGAAGAGAAGGTCGGCGGGACTCGCGGCGTGAGAAGCGGGACACTGCGCAGCGGTCAGCTGGGGTCAGCCTCCGTCCCTGAAGACTACAGAGGTCGGAGCGGAGGACACAAACATTCGGCCTCCAACCACAAGCAAAGAGAGAGGTGGACAGATTCCCCAGCCACGGTTTCATGGACTTCCCACCACAGGTCCCACAACCACAGCTCAGGGAGCTCCAAACTGCTTGAGCTAGATGAGGAGAAGATGAGCAATTATGAGATGGAGATGAAGCCCCTCATGAGGATGGATTCTTATATGCAAGAGATTCACACCCAAAAAAGACACTATAGCAAAGGGGGACCCTGCAGGAGCATGGCTGACGACCACCGCGGGGAAGACCGGGGCTTCGGGGTTCAGAGACTGAGGTCTAAGTCCCAGAACAAAGAGAATTTCAGGCCAGCTTCCTCTGCTGAGCCCACGGTGCAGAAACTGGAAAACCTGAGATTCGGGGACAAAGCTGAGCCTCGGCTACTAAGGTGGGACTTAACCTTCTCCCCGCCACAGAAATCCTTACCTGTTGCACTAGAATCTGAAGAGGACAATGGGGATGCGCTCAAATCCAGTACGGTAAGTAGGCAAAATTGTGTGTTGAAATCTGGCCGAGAAACCCGGTGCAGAGCTGTCGTGGCGCTGCAGCGGAGTGGAAAGGGAGACTGCTCTGCTGGCAGGGTTGACCCCCGAATTACCGTGGGTTTGTGCCTTGAATCCCCCCTCCTCCTTTCTCCCATCCTGCATAATAGCGTGTGCTAGAAGTTGGTGTGGGGTTTTCTCCGCAGACTGTCTTGGTGGGAACAGCAGGTTTTTCACTGGAGGATGTGAGCAGCAAGTTTGAGTTTGTTTTGCAACCCAGCCCCGGGGCCAGCAATAAAAATACATTATTGCTGGGATTTTGAGCATTCGCCTGGTGGAAAAGCTGCAGGATGAGGCAAGGTGTTGGTGATGCTTCCTTGTGGTTAGGTTATGGCAACAGAACTTCACTCTGGCCCAAGAGTGTGGCGGGACCCTGTTGCAACATCAGTGCTTAAATCCCGGTAGCTGGGCATTGCGGCAACCTGCAGCGGCTCTCCGTCACTCTGCTGCTATGTGACGGCGCTGCCTGTTGAAGCAGTGGCCTTGTCACCGCGTTGTACTGGAGACCTGACCCAGGTGGAGGAGGGGACCATGGTCATGGAGCAGGGGACATTGCAAAGGGGTTGCATTCCTGAGCTGACCATTGCTCAGGTTTTCCTGTACTGATCTGCACGGTTCAATACAGCTCGTGTTTTTTTGGTCTGCGGATGCCACCGAGCCAGGAGGGGGTACAAGCCCCTCAGTGGGGGGATGCAATGCAAAAGGGTCTTGGCAAATTGCAGTCAAGAGGATGCAATTCAGGAAGGCTACCTAGACAGGGAAAGCAACAGGCAAGTACAGCAAGGGTAGTGGGCTATTAGAGCTCTGTAAATCAGGACGATAGAGCAGATTACAGCCAAACGTCAGTCCGTACTATCACTGTACTATGAAGAGCACAAGTAAGCAGAAGCAGAAGCAGAAGCATAGCTTGTGGGACTTGGAGGATAACCCCTCATGAGACATCCAGTCCTGGGCTCCTCATTTCAGGAGAGATGAGGAGACGTTGGGCATTAACAACTGGCTGCTGGGAAGAGCTGGAGGTGTTCAGGCTAGAGAAGAGGAGACAGAGCGATCTTCAAACACATAAAATGGCTGCTGCAAAGTGGAAGGGAATAATCTGTTCTCGATGAACAGAATTAATGGGCTTAAATTCAAGCATTAGAGGCAGTGGTTAGCCATTAGCCATTCCTAGTGAGTTGAGTGCTGGAATAAATTGCCTAGGGAGGCTGTGGTGGCTGGGAGGGAGAAGGTGGTCTAAGACCTGGTTGGACATCTGCAGCTCAGATATAGCTTGGATAGAGCTGAACCTGCCTTGGCAGAAGGCTAAGCTGTGTGATTTTCAGGTCCTTTCCAGCCCTGGTTTTTGATCGTTCCTGGACTTACCATTGAGAGCAGCTTCCTCACTTATTCTCCCCGTTGGTTTGGCATTGCTAGGAGAGGTGATGGGGCGGTCTGAGGGAGTAGTGGGGAAGCCAACACCACTCCGAATTCCCCCTTGTCGCATCAGTGCCAAACACAGGGCAGGGCTGGAGGGGTCTCCTGCTGCTGGATGTCCCACAGCCCAGGCCAGACCTGCACAAGAGAAATGGAAAATCTGTAACTCTCAGGTGGTGACATTTCAGGCTCCGGCAGAAGAAAGGAGCTAAATCACCCTGTCAGGGTAGCAGAAGATGATGCTGGGTTGTTTGGGAGACAGGGATCATGAAACTGAAATTACATTTGTCAGTCACGCCGAAAGTTTGGGCTAGCAGCATCATGGTCTGTAACATATGATTACTGTGGCCATACCTACAGCATCCCTGCTCCTCCAGCCGCCTGCCGACAGCTCTGCCAGTAGAGCAAAGGTGTCGGCACCTGCAGCCAAGGGATGAGAGCGAATGGGTGGGAGAGAGGAGGGAGCGGTGACATCTGCAGCCTGTGAGCAGCCAGGATGCAGGAAGGACTAAACTACAGATCTGCCACAGTTTCCCTGCTGTGGCTGTGGATAAATCACCCCCCCACACACCCCCCTGTAGCTTCCTGGCTTCCTATTCATCTTGCAAGCTTCGGCGCAGGCTCGAAAGCACCCACACAGCATTTAAGAAGAGCTGAACACAGTGTGTTTGCCGGTGGACTGCACCGTAGGACACATCTTGCCAGTCCAGAAAAAAAAGCGAGCTCCAAGTTGAAGCCAGCCCTGAGCACACACCAGTGAGCAAACAAGTGGGCGCCGAGTCCAGACCAGGCTGTCCTTACCTGCTAGCGTAGATGCCTGTGAAGCACTAGAGAAATGACAGGCAGCATTAGGAGCCTGACAGGCTTTCAGAGAGGAAAAGCAGCAGCAGTAATTGCATGGACATCGACACTGTTGAAGTCTGTGGGACTCGCAGATGGTCCAGCACCTTTGATAACGTGACCTCACGCAGCGGCAGGGAGCTGGGAGAGACACGGGTCCCAAAGGAGGAATGAAACCATCATTTCTCCTCGCTGAGAGCCAGGCATTCCTCGGGGAGATCGCTGGCACAAGCGGTCCTGGTGTCTCGCCCCACCCAGCCCAAGTTAGACGCGCCGCCGAGGCTCCCACCTCGCAGGCAGACCCCAGGCTGCACGCCAGAGCCATCATACATAAACATCCCGCCCGGGGAGGAGGGCTTGAGCTGCAACGCTGGAGGTAGATAGCCACTAATGCAACATAACATTAATGGCTATTTCGAGTGGATCCCGGGCAATAACGAAGGGGCACAGCCTGCATGGAAAGGCGCACAGAAAAGCCATCAGGATGCACATCATACTTTTTTAAGTGCTGTAGCTGTGAAGCAGCATGTTCAGTTTTCTCACATTCATAACCGAGGGTGGAACAGATGGCGAAGGTTTGGGAGGAAGCTAATGTAATACAGAGGAAGAGATAATATGTGGATTTAAATAACCTACAATGCCAGCAACAATTTGTTCTAGCAAGAACTGCACTGTGCTAGCAGGGTTTTGTTCCATGTGGCCTGGCAGGGAGGAGGGTCATCGGACAGGAGCAGGGGAAGGAGGTGTAGGAGAGGAATGGGAGGTGCAGTGATTTGTGTTCCAACCTCCTGCCTAACGCCGTGACCTTGCCTGCACCTGCCATCAAGGATCTCAAAGCGTTTCAAACTTCAGCGAGTGTAGTGAGTCCCTGAGGAAGAGGAGGGGAAAGCTAAGGGGGAAGGATTTATCCCACGGTCCCCACATCCACCTCCCTCTGTGCATGCTCAGTGACACAGGGCACTTGCATGCTTCGTCCTGCAAAAAGCACTGCATCCTGCTCACGCTCCAGATCTTTTCACGCAGAATTAAGGCCCCCCAACTTCCCCAAAGCCCCATTTCTCACGCTAGCCTGAAATACCCCTCCCCTTCCAACTCCCAGCAGCTTGCCTCCAGCGTGCAGGCGAACCACAGCTCCCGGGAAAGGCTGGCTGTGCGCACGCGTGTGCGTGCACGCGTGTGTGCCCACGCCGTTTCAGCTTGCATGACAGCCCGCTTCCCTGTGATCCACAGCACTGCCATCTGTGAAGCTGCTCACTGAAAAGGGCATTTCTCATCTCCCAGACAGCTGGGCTGTTTCAGAAAGGTGCCTGCCAATGAACAGGAAGGATGCTCTTAGCTGAGGAGGGCTATTTTTGCCCTACCTCGAGTATCCCTGCGCAGAACTGAGGTCACCCTCATAGGTTAGCTTGTTTTAAAAATAATCTGCCATAAACCAGCTCTACACACGCCATCAGTGAGCCCGGTGGGTTGGCTCTGCGTTGGAGTGCCAGCTCCAGCTTCGGGAGCAAGCACACCTCTGTCACTGCTCGCAGGAATGGGGTGGGGATGCAGGTCTTGCAAAAACGCAGTCTTAAAATTATCACTTCTCTCCCCACACCTCTTGATTTCTGTCTTAGAGATGAGGCTGGAACAGTTCGGGGGTGGGGGGGGAGTCCCTTGGTGTCCAGCCTCTTGCAATGTGTGCCCAGGTGGGGATGCAGACCTCTGTAGAGGAGTCAGGCGTATAGGTTGCTATATGAGCTATAGGAAGTTTGTTCTTCTTGGTCATTTTTCACCAGTCCCTTAAAAAGAGGCTCCCAGAACCCTCCTTCATTGGGGCTGCACATCAGTAATTGAAAATTGCTCTTATAAAGGTCATTTCTTGAGGCCACCGCTCAATAACATGGATGAAATTCAGCGCTGCTTGGTGTTCGCTACCAGGTGACTTTGGGGGTTCAGGGTCATCAAGCCGGCACTACAGTCATACAAACGCTTTAAAATTACATTTAAAGCCACCTGATCTTTCTGTGTCTCTGTGTGCACTGACCCCTGCACGCACAGAACAAACTCACGTCAATTGTCATCGTTCAGGCAGATGAAAACGGAAACCAACGCGCCAGGACCGGTGTCGGTGTTGTCGGATTAAGGGACTTATATAAACGTCACCATCCTTTCTGACCTTAAAGGCCCACGAGGCACAAAGCTCAAGCCTGTGCCTGAAAGCTTCACAGGTTCCTAGAGCCTTTGAGAAGATCTGAAACGGGAAAGGAAAAAAGGAATTGTCGAGACACTGGAAAGGGAAAGAGGTTTTCTAAAATGCCAGCAACCCTTTTATCCATCAGCACAGAACACATCACATTTTTAGGGTTGGGGGAAAAAAAAAATATGTCTCCTTTTCTGCAGGTGCTGAACATCTGCAGCTTCTAAAAGGGAGAAGAAGTGTTTTAGGCACAGAGGTCCTCAGCATGCCTGTGAGAAGGGCCAGTGTTCAGGCACGAACGGAGCCTGATTCATCTGCCTGTCCTCATTTAGCAGGAGCAATCACAGGTATTTAGATGAAGACTTCTAGGGATACGTTGTGGTCTCACTAAAGGCACCCTGGAGATGTGAGTAGGCTCGAGACTTGGCCCTTTAAAATCCCCCTGTCTCATCTCACCAAGAAAGCCCGACGGTAGGGCAGCAGCCAAAAAAAAACCCACCCCAGC